TTTCCATTATTGCTATTTCATTCATTCTTTTTTTTTTCCATAATTATTGTACTGTTTATATTATTATTATTTATTTTTTTTCTGAAAACCATTAAATCGCCTACACTAAAAAAATTGATTTACTTTGATTAAAGATCACAGAGTTGGCTACTGATTGTGCTTTTTTCTGGTTTTATACTGTGGAATGAACAGGAATGGACTTAAATGCATGCTTGGTATTCATTTTATAGTTGAATATGAGTAAAATAAAGCTGTAGGTCATGTATTAGAGTTTCTTCATACTGTTATTACTTTTCAGGAAAAGATACTTTACATAAATGTTTGTTTCTTCCCACCAAGATCTAAGACCATTCATTAAATGTTCATTAAAATAATGTACTCATCAAACAGGAACGTATATATAAACATATTTATATTTGATGTTTCATATTTTAACTTTATGACTGTGCTAACAGCCGCTGGTTCTGGCAGAAGACCCAAAGTTAATAATACAATCAATCAACTTCCTTACTTGCACAGGAAATTATGAAGTGTTGTTTGATCTTAGTTAGGGTCACTTTCCGGATATGAGCTTTCTTGCTCATTTTGGCATCAATATACAGCTCCCACGACTCATTAAACTTGTGTGTAAAATGTGGCCTTCATATGTCACAAACTAGTCCATTAAGACCAGGTCTAATGATCTCAACTCCACAGAAGTGTTTGTTCTGGGAACATGAGCTTTTGTTTCTGAAAACACGTTTTTTAAAAATATAATAGTTATATAGAATATAAGAAAATAAATATTTGCTGAAGGGAAATGAAACTTTATTTTCTATTATTTGTATTATAATAATAACAACAACAACACATTTCAATGATGTTGAAAATATCATTTATAAGCTAAAAAATATATTTGTATTTGAAAATATGCAAATGCAAAATAGAAGCCACGAATTCATCTTAAATATTTCGAACCTACTGCACATTTGAACTCGTTTATCACCACATGTATCATATGGCTTTGTGAGTTGTGGCGTGAACTGGCGTGATACACGAGCTCATGATCTCATTTTGATCTCATATCCTCTGTGTTTGGGTGTAGTCGACTCGCAGAGAGACCCGTGAAAGGTGTGGCTTATAGTGGACGGACGCTTTAGCAAAGGTAAAGTTGAAAGTTTTGTTCCTTTGTCTATAGAAATCAGCATTAAAGCCAATCGCGCGCTTACCAACATTGTCGAGTTTGACGCTTTGCCAAGTATTCATCTGTAAAAGACGCCATTTTCACGTTATGTTGCTCTCAGCGAGCACATAGTGATGTTAGCGGATTTTGTCATGCCCTTATGAATCGCATATGAAATTGCATAGAGAATAAACTTTGCAATGTGACACCTACTGCACATTTGAACTCGTTTATCACCACATTTATCACATAGGCTTTGTGAGTTGTGGCGTGAACTGGCGTGATACACGAGCTCATGATCTCATTTTGATCTCATATCCTCTGTGTTTGGGTGTAGTCGACTCGCAGAGAGACCCGTGAAAGGTGTGGCTTATAGTGGACGGACGCTTTAGCAAAGGTAAAGTTGAAAGTTTTGTTCCTTTGTCTATAGAAATCAGCATTAAAGCCAATCGCGCGCTTACCAACATTGTCGAGTTTGACGCTTTGCCAAGTATTCATCTGTAAAAGACGCCATTTTCACGTTATGTTGCTCTCAGCGAGCACATAGTGATGTTAGCGGATTTTGTCATGCCCTTATGAATCGCATATGAAATTGCATAGAGAATAAACTTTGCAATGTGACATAGGCTATGTAATCGGGATCTAATCCTCCATTTTGAACACATATTTCATTAATGCGTTAAAAATGCCCTGCGCTAGGAGAATTAATGCTGCTTAATGCTTTTGAAAACATCCAAACTTTTGCTAGTGACTAAAAGTATGTAACTAAAGAACGTAAAACATATAATTTATATTGATGTTTAATATAACTAACTAATATCTGGTGGTTACAGAACTGAAACCCACCCACAACAGCAGGAATGTCTTCTGTATGGGTCAGTGCGGCTGTTTATTTCATTTTTACTTTAACCATTTCAGGATTAAGTGACTCTACATTTACATTTCTTGCTCTGAAAGTGATATTTACTGAAGATAATCATTTTTCAGAAGACTTCGTACTTTCTATTTTCTGTTTTCAGGATGATTTGGATCTTCTCCTGGACTCCCCCTCCTCTTTGACTGTAAATGTAAGACTGTGATTGTATTTTATAGAGTTACACATTTCATATAGTAAGTTAAAAAGGTTTATATATCAACATGATCCATGTTTTACTAAGTCAACAGTACATGGCACCATTAAGGAGAAGCCGGGCTTTAATCCAGGCGAGGATGCTGCCGCTTTAAGGAAAGCTATTGAAGGCATTGGTAAGTCACTAAGTAACATGGGTGTGGACTTTTAGTGAACTTACACTGCACACATCCGGCTGAGATGTTGAAATCCTGTTGCTTTCTATTGGCTGGCTGTTGGCCTTATGTCACAATGAGGAACTGTGTTGTTTGCGTTTGTAATTCCTCAGGCACTACTGAAAAGACTCTTATTGACATTCTGACTCAAAGAAGCAATGCCCAGCGCCAGCTGATCTGTAAAGCGTATCAGGACGCCACTGGGAGGGTAAAACACCATATTACCTGTACACATGTTTAACTAGCTGTTGAATGTTGCCTGATATATAAAAACATGCGTATGTTTTTCATCTTAGACTCTTTGTGATGACTTGGAAGGTGATACACGTGGAGATCTTGAGGGTATTTTGGTGGCCCTGATCACTCCTCCTGCTAAGTTTGACTGCCAAGAGTTCATAGGGGCTATAAAAGTACACAATGCATTTTCTTTTTGACTGCTAATAGTTTAGATCAGGGATGGGCAACTTTTATAGTGACGAGGGCCAGCATTTTTCTCCTTTATACCAAGGGGCCAGATTACTAATCCACGTCCACGTCCACACACCTTTTACACCGTCTTACTCAATTTCCTTTTTACTGAAGGAAATTAAAGTATAACTAATGTCATTTGATTTTATTTAGTTTAGTATTAAGTATAAAACTTGTGCAGTTATGCTAATTCAGAAGGAAAACTTTGTTGTGAGTGGACAGAAATATTCCCCCGACAAGCCAATGTAAACATTTCAATTGCATTGTCTGTAAATTTGCAACAAACAAATATACAGAGGTCCTTTTTTTATTAGTAGCCTACAGAACATTCTCAAAACAACC